CCACCCCACAGTCATTCCCTAGAAGATCACTCTGTTTATTGTCTTCTTTACCTGTGACAGTTTATTTTATCCCTCAATTTAACTGGCCTAAAGATAGTTGATAAAGCATTGTTTTTGGATGTGTCTATGACATTTTATGAGATAGAATAGAACTTGAAGCTGTAGAATGAGTAAAGAAGATTCCTCTCATCCATGTGAGGGGCATCATACAATCCACTGAGGACATGAGTAAAACAGAAAGGCAGAACGGTGAATTCTCTCCCTCTTCTTCAGCTAGCACACTGATTCCTTCATCCACTTGGATATCAGAGCTCCTCATTCTCGTGTCTGTATACTGGGACTGAATTATACCTCACATTTCCCTTATTCTCCCGTTTGCAGATGGTATATCATGGGGCTTTTCAACTTCTGTAAATCTGTGAGCCAATTCCCATAATAAAGTTCCTCTTACACACATACATACACACAGACACACACAGACATCCTATTAGGATGAAATACTTTGGCATAGGAAGCCAGGGTTCTACACAAAGGACCTTACATTCTGCTTGGAAAACAGGACATATGTCAGGACTATTTCAGCTGTAAGTGGCAATGTCTATAAGTACAGAGGAAGGGTTATTAGGACATACAGCTAGAAAGTCTGTGAGCTTTTGGACCCCCTTCCTAAATCTTTCATTGAGGCTTCATCGACATGACAGGCAAAGTAGTCACTGGCAGCCCTAAATCTCCTTTCTGACAAGAAAGCCCCCCACCCCTTAGTAAGAAATCTGACTCAGCAGCTTATAGCATGTGTTCTTCCTTGAACCAGTCCCTGGAGCCCTTGACTAGGCCGCTCTGATTGCCCAGACCTGTACTAACTGTGGTAGCTGAGGTAGGCCAGCCTCATGGAACCCTTCTGGAAGTTCTAATGTAAAAGAACAGGGAGGGGATCCTGGGAAGGTCAGAATTCCAGATGTTCCTAGGACAGGGCACAGCATGAGAGCAAGTTCCTCTGTGCTGGGCTGCTGGCTCCTCCCAGGGGGATAGGTGACACTATGCAAGGATAGAAAGGGAACTTGAGCAGCAGCAGCGTTTGACACAGTGACTGCTTCCAGAACTGTATTTTCCATCTTTAGGGAGAGAAGGAGGAGGGTTTATTCAACCAACTGCCACTGTCTGCTGCTAGTGGAAAGCGCTAAGCCCAGAGACCTCCATGGAAAGATCTCACTTGTTTTAGCTGACTGGCTCCAAGAGCTATTTGTCCTGGGCTCATTGACCCTGGATCTTTCATGAAGAATTGTTATTTAGTCAGATGCTGGCATTCCTCTTCACTACTTTGGTGGGTTTAAAGGGATACTTATCCTCTTTCTCAACAGTGAGACCACTTGGTGAAATTGGAAGTACAGTACCGTGGATTGAAGTAGATCTCAAATCAAATTCTAGCTGGACCATTTTCCAAGTGAGTGGTTTGGGGCAAATTATTCAGCTTCTCTGGCCCTTTTTTTCCCTTGATGGTAAAAAGTAGGTAGATGTCACTCATCACAGAGTTGCTATGAAGATGAAATTTGGAAAATGAATGCAACACACATGGTAGAAAGGCTGGCATTAACCAGGTCTTTAACAAATGCTAGTCTTATTGTTATTCTGATGAAGAGAAAAATAAGGATGACAGTGATGTCAACAGATACCACTAAATTATCGACCATATTGGTTTTGTATTCTGAAAGGCCTCAGACTCACTACTAAAAATGTAGCTTCTCCAAAATTTTCTTGGCTGTTTTGGAAAGTGGTGAAGGAACTTGCAGCTAGGGTATTAATTGACCAGCCAATGTTGCATCTTGCGTCTCAGTTGTGTGACCTTCCTGGAATCCTGCTTGAGCCTCACTGATAGAAACAGCATAGGGAGTGTGGTCAGGGATGCTCCTGAGAGGGAGAAGAACTGTAGTACTCAAGATCAAGGCCAAGTTCTGGGGTCAAAGCCCAGTTTTACCTTGACAGTGTGTGCGCCCTTCATTTGCCTCACTCCGCTGAACCACAGTTTATTCAATTAGAAAACAGGGATCATAATGAACATACATCATAATGTTGAAAAGAGAATTTACTAATCTTACCTCATGTTTCGGACATATAATGTTTATATTCATTGAAGTTATTAAGTTCCTGAACATGGAATATCTTTATTCTACTTAGTTTCCCTTCCCTTCCCTCTCTCCTCTCTCCAACATTCTCTTGGACCCCTTTCCTTTTGCAAGAGATCTATCGCTTTGTCTCCTTCTATCCTTTACCGTGCTCTTTGCTTGTGCTTTGCCTTACTCAAATAGGAGACACTAATGGTATTTAAGCTAACGTTACTGACTTATGTCACTCAGCATTATATTTTCCAGGAGCATCCATTTTACTAAAAATGCCTCAAATTTGTCCTACTAGCTGAGTAAGATGTATAGATACCACATTTTTTTATCCAATCATCTGTTGGTGGTATAGAGGCTGCTTCCAGGATTTAGCTATTATGAATCCTAAGATGATTGTAAACTGCATATACTGTAAACATACTGATTTTAAAAAGATTGATTGAAACAGAAAAAAAGAAGAGAAAACTTAATTAAATGCAGTTATGCAAATATATATTGAGTGTCTTCCATGGGGCTGTGGTTATTCAAATGTCACTCTGATGTCCTGTCTTCACAGAGTCTTTTCATGACCGCCATATTGAAAGTCAATCCTCCTCTCTGCTGTTACACAATGAAACTTTATTTAGCTTACACCATATTATATTGTAATCATCTTTGGTCTGAATCGCCTACCCTAACTGTTCCTGATAGCAGTGCTGTCAGTAAGGGCAGAGATCTCACCTCCACTGCACCTCACAAAGCACCGAACAGAACGCAGGCATTCAAAAATATCTGTGGAAGAAATAAATGGCAAAAATTTTGGAAATCACTGTGCTGTGGCGAGATGGGAAAAGCAGAGGCTTTGGAGTCGGGCAGACCTATGTTAAAATCAAAATTAGAGGTACTGAACCGGCAGATTGCAAAACTCTTACTGTTGGAGGTCCTTTATGCCATTGCTTAAAAGTAGCTACCTGACATTAAAGCCGACATTTGGCACAAGGAGATAGAGACATCGTCAGTACTGCCTAAAGCTGGAGTACCTGGGTTTTCACTTTGTCAGCCAATGAATCCCTTTTTGAGTTCAATTGGTTATTTTTATTGAAGAAAGTTTGCTTGTACAACTTGCAGCCTAATGGATACACATGTGCATTTTGCCATCCTTGGTGGGGAAGGGAGTAGAAAGGAAAAAGTAGGCCATTCTGCCTAGAATAGGGGTCCATACTTACTCTCCCTGAGTCCTACAGCCACACTTGAACTCACCTTTGGCTCAGGAACAGGCAGCAGAATGGGAGCTCAACTCCCTGCTTTGCCATGTAGGAGCTGCTTAATTTTGGATAAATTATTTATCTTCTTTCAACTTGATAATGAGGATAGTGTTATAAGTCTTATAGATGCTTTATGGTGATTAAATGGCAAGATGTCTATGAAAGCTCCGTGCCTGATCCATGGTGAGCCCTCATCCTTTGTCTTTGAACAGTCACTTCATGTCATGTTTTCCCAGAGCTTCTATGACAAACTACTACAAGTTGAAATGATTAAAATAATGCAAGTTTTTCGTAGAGCTCTGGAGACCGGAAGTTGGAAATGAGGCACCAAACGGATCATACTCCTGCTGAAAGATCTAGGAAGAATCCTCAAATCTTTTAGCTTCTAGTGGCTCCTGATATCCCTTGGTTTGTGGAAGAATTACTCCAACATAGATTTCTGTCTCCGTAATGGCCTTTTTCTTTGTCTATGGGTCTCTTTTTCAGTCTCCTATAAATCTATTAATTGGCATTGTGGTCCACCCTTAACCAGTATGATCTCACCTCAATTCTTCTGCAATGACCCTATTTCTAAATAAGGGCACATCCTAAGGTTCTGGGTAGACATAAATTTGGGAGTTACTCTGACCCAGTATACCTCATAGCCTGAAAATCCTACTATTGTGCTGAGTGTTCTCTTGACCTGTATTTTGAATTTATCATTTATTTGTGTGATCGGTATACTCACATACACACATTCCCCTAAGTCATCCACAGTACCTTACACAGTCTCCCTTAATGGAATTAGAGGGTAGTTGAGCCCTTACCAACCTCATGAAGGAGTGTCCATCCCCAAAGATTGAATTCAGAGTGGTGTTAGTAAAAACAACACTTCATGTGAGATCAGACATCCCATATGTCTTAGCCATGTGCTCTTCAGTTATATAAGTCATTTAAAATTTGAAGTTTTCTATTTCTTGCACTGTAAAATAGAGGTTCTGGTAATAAATTCCTGTTGATCCCATAGCACTTTCAAGAAGACCAAATGTTGTATTGGGAGTGGAAGAACTATATAAATTGTTAAATACTGAGTTCTGTAAAAGCCAAGGGTACACACTTTATGGGTTGTGTAAGGATTGGTGGGCTTCTGCATAGATTTTAAAGATCTTAATTTGAAATTCTTTATGTTTAATCTCCATTCTCCAAACCACCATGTATTACATCTCTCTGTCTTCCTCGTTTGTCTCATTTTCTTGTATTTTGGAGCCACTACTATTTATGGCCCCTGAAAAGGAAATTGTTATGTTTGGAACCAAGAACTTTTGTGCTCTGGGCAGCATTACTAGAGTATGAATCCAATGGCATGAGATGGCCCTTGGCTTCTTCTGCTCCAGCCAGAAGGGAAAACACAGGCGCATAATTCCAATAAAGAAAAATAACACAATGCTTATATTCTCTGAGTCTTTCATTGATTCTTTCTCCTAAAAATTTTGGAGGGATCTGGATGCCCTGTAGAAGCTTTGACAGCCAATCATGCCCAATGGTGATGGATACCTTTAGGATCACTATCACCATCCTTTAGTCAGCTCAGATTTGGGGGCTGGTGTTGAAAGCCACAGGATCAGAAAGAGGCAGCAAATAAGAGAAATTGGTAAAAGCAGAAGATAGTGAAGAAATATACTTTAATAAAATAATCGATAACTGTATCATAATGCATATAAATTATCATTCACTTAGACCAGGCCGTGTGACTGACACTTCACAATCTCGCTAATGTTCATTGCAAGACTATCATTGCCCTCAATTTAAAGATGAAGAATGTCTTCTTTTTGATGTTACTAAGCATTTTACCAACTCTACATTTAGAGATAGCTACCCTTCTTCTTTCTTTCTTTCTTTCTTTCTGATGAAGAATGTCTTGCTTTGGGTTTCTGCAGAAGAAAATGCCAAGACAAGGAGTTAGTCAAGTACTTTGGAGATGATTTAAAAAATCAGTAGGTCAGTGGGGAGTGAGACAGTAAAGGAAAAGCAGGAACAAAATGTCTACTATAAACTCATTACTGCTGAAGATCCCTGGAGCTTCATCCCACTGGGGAAGGCTCTGAGAAGCAGTGTAGGCCTTGTGCCTTGGGGTGACCCTGTGAAGGGAAAGGGGGTGAGTATATTCATTCGAGTACCACCTCCCAACAGACCTCAACTAGAGCTGCTTCTGGGGACACTTATTCTCTGACACCTCTGGCCGGTCACGTAGAAAGAAAACCACTTTTGTTGCCAAGGGAAGTCCTCTAGGCTTGAAGGCGAAGTTATGAATCTGGCTAGTATGCACAGAAGTCGTGAGAGTGAGGGCACTAGGAGTATCTGCTGTAAGGAGTCTGTGTGTGTGTTAATTCATGATGTACATGCATTATTTGTATGTACATGTAAACATGTCATGTGTAAATATGTATACATAGATATGTATATAGTCATACATATACGGAAGATATTTGATTTTGAGAAAATAATTTAAGCATTAGATTAAAAGCCAAACTAAAAACTCTTAAACTGTCATTCAGGCCAGTTGTCACCTGACCCTTTAACATTAATAGGGTGCTTTGGTGGCCAGGCATTAGCCTTAACAGGTAATCTCTTCTAACCCCATTAAGATGCCAAACACTCTCAGAGAACATTAGGACCCATATTTAGAGCAGGCTTGTTGAGTGATCAACATCCAAAGTTCTGGCCTTGCAATTAACTCATTGAAGTCATTTTCTTTTTCCATATGTGTCAACAGCATTTTCTTATCACCCTGTACATATTTCACATCCAATGGTGTTTTTTTTAATCCAAAAATGATTGTGTTGTTGAGGTTTTGTGTGGAGCTGTGATTGCCATCTTTGGAACTGAAGATGCAATCAGGGGAGAGAATCGATGCCTCATAATTTAATGAATAGATGTGCTTCTGTGGCAACTTCTTCAGTAATTACTTGTGTAAACTCTGTTTCTGTAATTGAAACTCTATAGAGTGTGGGTGTAATTTATCAAAATCTGTAATTTATGATAACTTTTCCATCTTGCCTTCTGGTTTCTCTGCTTGTCCTCTCTAGAATACCCCCGCACCAGTATGTCATCCTCATTTACACTAGAAGGTGAAAACCATACAGTTCGCTTGGGAAAGAAGTTTCCCGTGGACTTGACAGAAACTTAAAATCCATTTTCCGAAGGACACAGTTGTTATTGTTGCTTTCAATGTGTGTTTTCAGACAGTCTCTAACGTGTGATTTATGAAATGGTTTTGAAGAGATTATCTACTTCAAGTGTCTAGATAATAACACCATTTTTCTCTGGTGGTCACCAACTATTCTAAGTGTGCCTGGGAGAGTGTCAGGGACTGGGACCCATGTTTTGCTAGCAAAGGACACTCAATCACAGAGCCATTGGAGAGAGAAGCCCTGCCTCCTGCTCTGAAGTTGCCACAGGACAACAGAAGGGGGTGGCTTTTAAAGAGTCCCTTCTAAGCAAATGCCAAAGCCACCCCAGGAAATACTCCGGAGCTGTCCTTGGTCCTGACCACTGTCTACTCTCCACTGATCATGCATAACAAGTAAAGTAGTTGTGGCATTTGAAGGATCCTAATGTCAAAGTATTGAAATAAACTTTACAGAAACTTCCATAATCTAACATATTTTAAAACAAAATTTACTTATTTCACAATCAAAATTAAACAAAGAAAATAAATACAACATTTCTCTTACCTCTAAAAGATAACCTATTGTTAGTTCAAGCTTTTTCTCTGCATAGTTTATATGTTAATATTATCTTACATTATCATATTTAATCTAAAATTTCCCACAACATTCAAAATAACCAAAACCATGATTTTATATTTTGCTTTGGGATTTTTAAAGTATAATTTAAGTGTGGTAAAATTCACCCTTTCGGTGCACAGTCTTGTGAATTTTGATAAATTTATACAGTCACTATAATGTAGATACAATACAGTTCCGTTGCCACCAACAATTCCTGTATAAACTTTATAATAAGTTTATCTTGAAACTCCAGTCCCTGGTAACCACAAATCTTGTTTCTATCCCTCTAGAAAAATAACAGTTAATGATTGCAGATCATTTTACAATGAGTGGATATACCATAATTTTATGAACATCTCCTTCCTGTAAGACATAGTTTATTCTAATATTACCAATTATAAATAACACAGTAATCAACATTTAGTGCATATATCTTTTACATGATATTTTAATATCTATGGGATTATAGAAGTGGAATTGATACATAAAAGATTAAGAAAAATTTTAAGTTTGACTCTAGAACTAGATGCCAAATAAATATACTTGATACCAGAAGTCCTGAGGAACTATTTGTAAAACACTACAGTATAGAGGGAAGAATATGGAAAACACTAGAAATGGATCCTAGAATTTCTGACACATAACTATTTTGTTTAGTCTTCAATAAGTTTTCAGTGACCCCAGACAAAAACACAAAAGTTTTAGATTGTCATTTACCTTATGCCCATTTCCACACCAAATCCTGATCTACATCTGTATCTATATGTTATATATCTGTAAGGATGGTATAATCCAAATACCTCACACATGGTTTAAACTTCTCTCATGGTTCCTGAATGTATTGTTTTTTCTCATGATTCCTGTATTTGCATGTGTATCCTCTTTTCCACAACACCTCCTTACACCACCCTCACTGTCCTTTGATCTGCTAGCCTGCTTAATCCTAAATCCTAAATGCTGAGATGAACCAGCTGCTCTTGTTTGTGTTCCCATAGAACTTTCTACCTGTCTCTATGTTGGAACTTCTTCATTCATATCCAACAGTTCCATATTGAGTGTCTGCCCTGTTCTGGGTGATATGAACACGATGATCAGTGAGAAAAATTCATGTCAAATCAGAAATGCCATTGTTTTAGGGGAAGAGATGATTCTGGAGCAGAGGCATGGGTAGTGAAATTAAGCAGCCATGGAGATACGTAGATGGAAATATCTTCAGGCAGATATAAAAAGAAATGCAAAGTATATTAGAGGGAAAGTGCTCAGTGTATTTGAGGACCAAGAGTAAAGCCAAGGAACTTGTGTCTGGTGAGTAAGAAAAAGTTGTAGGTACTTAAGGTGGAAAAGAAAGCATGCCCGGATCACTCAAGACTTACAGGCTATGATACAGAACGTGGATTTTATTGAAAATATAAACGAACAAGGAGAAACTTTTAATTAAGAAATTTATAAGATATGACTTATATTTTAAGAACAGATTTGCCTTTTGGGTGCAGAAGAAGGAATATTATGGAAGAAAGTCTACCAAGTAGGAGAACATAGAAGCTATGTAGGCCTGAAGCAATGGTGGCTTAGAGCAGGGCTCAGCAATCTTTTTCTGCAGGGATCCACATAATAAAAATTTTAGACTTGTGGGCCATATAGTTTCTCTCACATTTACCAAGTTCTGCCGTTGTAGCATGAATATGCTTGTAGATAATATGCAAATAAATTAGGGTGACAATTTTCCAGTGAACATTTATAACAATAGGTTGCAAGCTGGGTTTCGGGTTCACAGGCCATAGTTTGTGAACCCCTGACTTATATATAAGAGTTATGATGAAAGTGGTGATTAGTGATTAGGGTTACCATCTATTTTTTGACAAGGATCAGGTTTCATCAGACAAATCAATAGTTCTTCTTGCCCTAAGAAGTTTAAGATGTCCATTAGATGTGTGCATGAAGATTTTGAGGCAACAGATGGAGCACTCAGTGAAGAGAATATTGTGAAAACTTGGCTAGTGGTACTAATCCTGAGATCATCAACGTATATGACATTTAAACCGTTAACAATGAATATGGTCATTTAGAAAAAGAATTTTGATGGAAAAGAGAAGAGAGAGGAGAGAGAAGAGACCAGACTAATGACAGCGTGGAGCATTTCTGTATTTAGAAATTGTCATGTGAAGAAGATCTCACAGAAGACACCCCGGGGAGCCTCTGGCAGAAAAAAACATGATATCTTCAAAGTCAGTGGGGTTTTTTCTTTCCTTTTTCAATGCTATACATTGAGCCCAGGGCCTTTATGCTGTGCTACACCCCACCCTTTTTAATTACGTATTTTTTATTTTGAGACAGGTTCTCACTAAATCACTAAGTTGCCCAGGCTGTGCTTAACAGTGATCCTCCTGCCTCCGCCCCCCAGAATCCTGGGATTTCAGGTGAGTGCCATCATGCTTGGATGGAAGATACTGTTTTACCAGAAGGAACAGTGGTCAAATGGGTCTGAGATTACTGGGAATTCTCATAAGAGAATCAAGAATTCACCATTAATTTCAGCAGCATGGAAGTTATTAGTGGCTTTTATAAGAATAGATGCTTTGAAATGGTGGGGACAAAGAACATATGAAAATAGAATAAGCGTAGATTAAGGGGCATTTTACTATAGATTGGAAAAAGAAGTGGGATGGTGGATGGAAGGAGATGCTGTATCAAGGAAAATGTTCTTAAGAATGAATTGCTGTAGTATGTCTATACACTTATGGGAATGATCCACAGAGAAAGGAGAACTGATACAGAGAAGTTAATGGAAAATTGACACCTTTGTGGAACCAAGACAGTTTGTAAAGGTGACAGAGTTTCCTTTCAGTATTGGGTCCATCTGTTTAAGAGGAGATTCAGAATTAGTACAGATGATTGGATATTTGGTGGGGGTGGGATGGTGATTATGTGCTTATAAATGCTTCTATTTTCTCAGGGGATTGAAAGAAAGTTCATCAGTATTTTTAAGGATGGAAGAAGAGGAACTGACAGCTGGGAGACCAGCTTTTAAGTAGTCTTCTTGTAAAAAGAAAAACAAACACAATAGGATTTTTCCAGCAAGACTATGGTAATAAGGTACACAGAGTTTAATCAGCTTGGTCCATGTTTACCCAAACCTGTTGAGC